TTTACACCCTAAGATTATTATGCACATTTTCCACACTGTTCTCTGGACATTTGCAATGAAACCAACAAAGAGAATCTTAACACAAATGACACAAGTTTACTTTTTTTAAAAGGTGTTTTCAAGTCATAAGGAATGCATCCATTGTTGTCAGGGTTTCACTTGGTATTGTTATCATGAGGAACCAGAAGAATTGTTTCTCTCTCTGGATTGTTCCTGTAAGACATCATGAAAAGATCTTTGTGTGCACACTGCTCATGAAACTGAAAGATGAGCTCTAAAAGTAAATTTCTTGTGTTGTTTTTGAAACTCTCTTTAGGTTTCCATGCATCTGAAGGAAGAAATTGCTAGAGATGTTCTCCAGAAGGCAGTTGATGGTTTACGAGAAGAAGAGTGTCCATTTGTTGGAGTTCTGTTTGCTGGAATGATGTTGACAGCCAATGGACCTAAGGTTCTGGAGTTTAATTGTCGGTTTGGTGACCCAGGTGAGAGGAAATATTCCCTTGTTTCAAAAAGTGGAGAATATGTAGATGGTGTTCTCAGTGACAAAAAATGCTTGTGGGAACTATTGATTAATCAGAGTGCTGTCCTTGGATAAGTCAGTCTTTCTCAACTTTTGAGACTCCAGTCTCTCTCAAGGAAAACATTTGGACTGTCAGGGATATTGCTGACTGCTTTCCTCTGGGACTAGACATTAACTAAGTTTGATCTTTTCCCTATTGCAGAGACACAGGTTATATTGCCATTACTGAAGAGTGATCTCTATGCAACCCTTATGGAATGTGTAAATGGTGAGCTTAGCCTTTCCTTACCCCAGTGGCACACAGACAGGTTTGCGGTGGGTGTGGTTGCAGCTAGTGGCGGATATCCTGGTTCAGTGAAGAAAGGGTGCATCATCAAGGGATTGAAAGACTTAGAGGTTAGTTTTTTTTCACATGTAGCATTGTGCTGGTGAATATGGAAATGCATTTACTCTGATTGGTTAAGTATTGTCTGTCATATTGCTTTTATCATTCAGCATAATTTTGAAATGACCACCATGCATTTTTTTTGGCATTTTGGAAGAAATTAGTGAGAAGTACATGTACATAGTTGTCCTTATTATTACGCTAGTTTGTGACAGTGCCAATTCTAAACAATATTTATTATTATCCACCTCCTGCTTTGGAAATATTGCATTGACAAAGTCAAGGGACTGCACAAATACACTGTAATACACTGTAGAAGAGGGCAGAAATGAAGATGGAAAGCAAATCAACAAAATGGTCTGACTAAACGATCTAAACTAAAACTTGCTTATATTCATTTACATGAAGCTTGATTTTTTGAGGGACAAACTTGTTTGTGTTATATGTTAAACTGTCAAATAAGATGTTAACATTCACCCTACTTTGGGCTAATAATAATAACATGGTAGGTTATTAAATTCAATGAAATACTAGCTATGAAGGATGTGTGGATTTTTTAGTTTGCAATCCATGTTTTCTCTCTATACTTAACACTGCATATTTCAAGGTTATCTTTAATCTTTAAAGCAATTTTCTTCATCCCTTACAGTGATCAAACTAAAGTCAAGTAATTAAATTAGTTTCTTTTTATTAGTTACCTTTTATTCCAAGACAATCTGGTTTTTGTAATTTATGCACAAAGGGTCTAAATAATGTAGTGGTGTTTCATGCTGGGACAGCCATCCAAAGGAAAGAAGATGAGGACGCTTTAATTACTTCTGGCGGAAGGGTGATGGCAGTTGTTGGCATGGCCTCAGGAATAGAAGATGCTCAGAAAACAGCATATGATAGTATCAAGAGGATTACGTTTGAGGGGATTCAGTACAGGAAGGATATTGCATCTAGAGCTTGCAAGTACAGTGATTTATGCACTCATCAATGGATATTGATTTTGGACATGATTTATTTATGTGTTATGTGTATAAACAAAGGACTTCTTACTTGCTCAGTTCTATGTTAAAACTGACAACCTTTATTCATTACAAAATCATTATAATTTATACAAAGTGCAGTGCCCTTGCTTATGCTAATTGCACAGTTATGTGTTGTGCAAGAGTGAAGATGACATTTACTTAGAGCAACAGACTCATCTTTTGCACCTTTTGCAAGTTGTGGTTCTTGATACCTTCTAGCCTGTGACAAGTAACTCATATTTCTCCCTGTCATCCCAGTAGTTGTCCCTGTCATCTCTCTGTAGTTGTGGACTAATGCTTTGCTAATGTTCGTAGTTCGAACTGTTAGGCATTTCATTCTGAGCTGATCTTGAGCTGGACAACTAACTTAAACAGTTCATCTGTTGTCAAACTGGCTAACTTTAGTGAAAGAAATTACTATCATGAGGGACTGCCTAAATATTATGGTTGAGGGATGTATGCCTGAGAAGTGAGAGGAAGAAGTAAACATGCTTTTTCTAAACATTCTACTAAATCTTGGATGTATTATTGTTAATATAGTTTCACATTTCACTCCAACTTGAACAGAGCCAGAGGCCTGACCTATTCTGGTGCTGGAGTGGACATAGATGCTGGCAACCTTCTGGTGAATGCAATCAAACCCCTAGCTGCCTCTACAGCACGCACAGGTTGTACAGCTGATCTTGGTGGCTTTGGAGGCTTCTTTGATCTCAAAGCTGCTGGTTACTCAGATCCATTGCTTGTTAGTGGCACAGATGGCGTTGGAACTAAACTCAAGGTTAGGATAACTGAAACATTCATAAAAAGAGAAAAAAAGGAATTATAGAGAGGTGGCTGGTTTTTAAGAGTACCAACAATTCTCCATGTGAAAACTTGCTTTACAGTTTGGTTCATTTGTAATGTAACCCTTAAGAATCCAGCCAAGATAGTTTAATCTGCAGAAAAGCGATTTTGTCTTAAGTTTGAAATTAACTGTGTTTGTGTTGTGGATTGCAGATTGCACAGACTGTTGGCATGCACGGCTCAGTTGGTATTGATCTGGTTGCAATGTGCGTGAATGACATTCTTGCACATGGTGCTGAGCCATTGTACTTCCTGGATTACTTTGCAACTGGAAAGTTAGATGTGGGTGTTGCCAAGGAAGTGATTCATGGTATAGCACAGGGCTGTTCCCAAGCTGGGTGTGCTCTTCTAGGAGGTAGAAATACAATTATGATACTTGTCACCTCAGGTTTATTCAGAGGTTTTTTAGTAGCCAGCCAAGGTTGAAATTTAATTTAGACAAAGATTGGTGTTTTACTGCTTTGTCTAACTAAAATAGCTGCTGCTTCAGAAAGGCATTGCTGGGAAAAATGTCTGCTTCCAATGATCTAGGGGAACACTGTCATTTATAATATCCAGGTCAATCATCATTTTTTTTTTTTTATTGAACAAATGTTTTGTTTGTGGGTTGTAAAGAACTTACTACTATTCTTTATACTATAACATGTGGTTTGCCAGTGTTGCTGACCAGAAGTTATCATTCTTAACTGTTCTTCTGATTGGGAGTCCAACATGCTCATCACTCAACCGAGCCATCCCCACAATATTGAATTAACCCCTAGTTTATACTCCAACATTGGTGTAATATTCTCCTTATTGTTCTCAATACATTTCCAATGATACTAACTAGGAGAACAAATTTGACAATTAGTAGCTTGTTAAATCTGTTATTCTGGTGATCTTCACATTTGATGGTGATACTGTAATGAGACATTAGAAGGCAATCACTCCTAGCCGATAAAGAGTTAATGAATTGAATTTTGAAATAAGTTAAGCCTGGATAAAAATGTTGCCACTTTTCATGGTGATATGATTTATTTTTATTTTTTTTTTAAATAAACAAAACTTTATTGGAGACAAAACGAAATAAAATGTAAATGTTAATTTACAACAATCAGTAAAAAATAACAAAGTGACTAAATGTATTTTATAATCATTAGACATAGTTCACACAAAAAGAAGAAAAAAGGAAAATGCCTGTGTTGAAGTAAAAATCTGTCAGTTGCCACATACATTTAAAATAAGAATTGCTGCCATTTTCAATACGGAACTGTTCTAATAACTTTCTCACAAATTCATCTAAATTTGGTTTCCCTGTTCTGCTTTTGCAGGTATACAAATATTTCTTTTGCAATAAAATCAGAAGACATAGAGGAGAGGAGTCTTCAAATGTATTGAATACAATTTGTCTATTTGAGAGTTTTATCTTAGTCTTGTGAAAATCATGAAACCTTCCTAAAGTTTACGTAAAGAAATCAGTTGATTCTTGACAATGTATAAAAGTGTGTTCAATTGAGTCTGGATTAATGTCAATTGTTTGCATTATTTTCAATTAATTGTTGCCATTCCTTTAGACTGGAAAAGAAAGGCTCTTGATTCTCCTGTCCCTGATCTACTTGGTGCACCGTTGGGATTCTTTCAGTTGGAAGAACAATAGTTTCAACTAAATTTTGTTGAAAATTATTATAAACAGTTTATTAAAAGACTTGATACTGAACCCTCTGCAATAACGTCTTGGAAGAAACATTTTCCAGAACTTCCTGATTGGAGCAATACATAAGTCTTCAAAAGATAATAAACTTGGACAATTCTCTTTTAAAGTTA